ATAGCCCATTTAATCCTTTCTACAGTCTCATGATATGTGTTGTCCCATTTTACAAATGAGGAAACTGAGGTGTCCAACATACAAATGCTTTGTTTTGCTCTGTGAGTAACCTTGAGCAAGAAACCCCGGAAGCTGGGCTGCTCCCTTGTGGAATGGGGGTGATAGTTCATAGTCTAACGTCCTGCTGTGTTAGGAGGCTCCGATAAGCCACATCCCTGAAAAGAGCATGGTACCCTAGCATCACCTTCTGGAATATCAATATGTCTGTAATGCCTCCTGCTAGTGTTTTCAGGCTGGGTACCCCACCTGGGGTCCCGGGCCCAAGAAAGGGCCTTTTCAGGAAAGAATTCAAGTGAGAGCCACAGAATAAAGTACAAAACAGTTTTATTAAGTTTTCTTGAGCAATTAAGCAAGACTTAGGTAAGGGAAAGGACAGGCTGCAGAGAGCCTGGGCTGTCTCGGAAAGCAGAGAGAGCAACCTCGAGCTGGGTTGAAGGGGATTTTTTAGGGGACTTCAAAGGGACGTGGGCGCAGTAGCTGGGGACTGGATCTCGGGATGTGATCAGCTGGCTGATTGACTTTGGAACTGCGTGCTCAGTTTGTGGTCCCTCTGCGAACCAAGTGGTTTGCAGCAGGCATGGACGGGCTGTTGACTTGCTCTATGTTATAAGGTGTGTGGCAGACTTCAGGTGGTTGTGGCTTCCTGTATGTGCACACTTGTCTCAGCTAGGGCCTCACCTAGCCCACCAAGATGCCTGTCTCACTAGGAGTGATAATCCTGCTATACCTCCTTTCCAGTGCTCCTCCAATAAAGATGGTTTGTCATCAGCCCCACAAGGTGCCAAAGAAATAATGCAAGAGTCAGAATAGACTTTTTCTGGGTGCTCCAGCCTCCAGAACCTCCTGAAATTCCACAACCTGCGGTGAGGCCTGGGTGTCCTCCTTCCAAGCAGGCTGGCCTGCCAGTGTAGACTTGGGCTACTGATGAGAGCCACTCAGCTCAGACCTGAGCAAAAGGCTCACAGAAATCTCCAATGTCTGGAGCAATGTCTGAAGAGAGTTTTACAGGATGCGGAAGAGTTTTGTGGAGACTTCAGTGGATGGTCTGTATACCACATACCCTAGACATTTTGACCTTCTGAGGCCCCTTCCTTCTCTGTAAGTTAAGATTTCCTTTCACACACCAGTAAGTGGATAAACCAAACCAGTTCAGCCTTCCCAGGATCTATGCATTGCCAACAAAGACTGTAACTGCTATGAGCAGAGACTACAGAAGTGCAGACCCCTCCATATGGGTGGAGTCATGCAGTGATTGTCCTTCAATGGCTGGCTTATTTCACTTGTAATGGTGTCCTTGGGGTTCATCCATGCTGTTGCATGTTGCTGTATTTCCTTCTTTTTTTAAGGCTGGGTGATATTCCATTTTGTGTATATACCACATTTTTGGGGCCTGTTCACCATCAATGGACATTTAGATTATTTCTATGTCTTGGCTATTGTGATATGAAGTGTCTAAAATAGTCAAACTCATAGAAGCAAAGAGTAGAATGGTGGTTGCCAGGGGCTGAGGTAGGGGGAAGTGGAGAGGTATTAATCAAAGGTGCTAAGTTTCAGTTAGGCAAGATGTATAAGTTCTAGAGATCTACTGTACAGCATTGTCCTTAGCGATAATACTGTATTGTACACTTAAAAATCTAAGATGGTAGAGCTCATGTTAAATGTTCTTGCCACAATTTAAAAAAAAGATGCGTTTTTGGCAAATGGAAGGTATCTAATCAGAGCAATTAAATAATCTGTTTTGCTTTAGAAGGACAACTTTGGTGTAGTTATGGAAAATACGTGGAGGAAAAGAAACTGCGGCTAAGAGAAGTTAGGAGGTCATTTCTCTGGTCCTGGTGAAAGATACTGAAGGTATAAGGGGGGAAAAAATTTTCCTTGATCCTCTTAGAGTCCCTGACTGGGTCTGAAAATTAAACTCACAAAGACAGATTAATAGGAAAAAGTAAACAAAATTATTTAATGTAAGTTTTATGTGACACAGGATCCTCCATAAGGAAATTAAGGCCTGAAGAAATAGTTAAACCTGAGTATTGTTTGCTAAGTTTGGTGAAGAGCGGACAGTCTTGGGAATGTTTGATATGTCAGAGAGTATGAGATAAGTGTAATTAACTGGGGGAAACTTAGCAAGGTGAATTTGTTAGGATTCTTCTCCTTGTCCCTTTGTCTTCGGGGATAAGGATGCTCCTTTCCTCCAGGGTTAGGGAAGGCACCTCCCACCTGAGGGTTTTATGACCTGTTTCAGGGGAGAACAGCAGGGGGAAGGTCAGAGTGACCTTCCTACTTCTGTTTTCTCAAACTCCTTCAGCTTCAAATATTCAATAGGGCAAGCTTCTCTATTTTGGTGGTAGCACATCCTGAACTCGTCAAAGGCCTATAGTAGGGAGGGTTGGAGCCAACTGAGCAGATTTGATTGGCATCTCAGAGCTGGAATCAACTGAATTCTACTGCATGTCAGTCAGTGTTATGGGTCAGGGGAGGAGAAAGTTAGTGCATTCCTTTGGATATATTGAATTTGAAGTACCAATGGGATAGCTAGGTTTGGATGCCCACTCGAGACTTAGAGCTATGGACTTAGGGATCAAGAAGGAAGTCTTGATTGGAGCCAAGAGTTTTGCAAATAAAGGGTATTAGAGATAATAGTTGAATCGAACATGGGAGTGTCAAATTGAAAAGTGAAGAGGCTGGAGAGCAAAGTCTCACAGGACACCAACTTTTATGGGCAGTTGGAAGAGTTGGTGTGGCTACCAAAATGTTAGGATCATGAAACAGAAGCAAAGTAAAGGGAATTTCAAGGAGTAAGTAGTCTTTGGCAATATCTGATATTTTGGAGACATCAAACAAAACATGAGCTCTGAAAAGAGCTCATCAGGTTAAACAGTTAGGCCATTTTTAACCAAAGAGAAAGCACTTTCTGTAATGTGGTCAGTAAGATACCAGAGTACGCTGTGTTGAAATGAGTATGTAGGTGAAAATAGGGACTGTGTGTCGAGAACTCCTTCATGAAATTGACTAATGAAGTAAATTTCTTTGACATGGAGACAAGACTAAGTTTTAAGGGTGCACCAGAGCAAAAGGTGAAGTGAAGAAAATTTACAGAAAACAGCAGCTCAGGACTAAATATAGTAAATCTTGAAATATTTTCTCCTGTTACTAGTACCTAGTGTCATTTCTGGCATGTAGTAGATGCTCAGCACGTATGCTGAAATGTGTAAATCCCTTCAGTTTTACTGATTCCATTTTTTCACTATACAATTGTATCTTGTTAAGGTCTCTCTATAACTAAGATTTTCTTTTTTTCCTTTCTTTTGGAGCATAAAATTCAATTCAGCCATTTTGGAATTAAACAAGCAGTTATTTCAAGCGTGTGCTCACAAAGCACTTCTCAGTAGCTGTACTTGACTGTTTGCAAACTTTGCACCTGGTCGTTGCTTAAGGAAGCATTTTTGTAAAGTTTTAAATGTAACTAAAAGTGATGTTCTGCTATTTTAAGTTCGATTTGTTTTTCTTTCTGCAGTTTGGCTCTGCATTCTGCTTTTAGTGATATGATACTGTTGGGCATGAAATTGAGAAATGTATTTACATAAGGCAGTGCCCTCTCCCAATGCAACCCTTTCCTCCCCCTTAAGAGTAGCCACCACTTTTCTGATTTTTATATAGTCACTTCCTTGCTCTTTAAGATTGCCTTGTTACCCAGCTGTGCATCCCTAAATATTATAGTTTTACTTTTTTTTTTAGAGGCGTGTTTTTTAAGTATCTTATTTTTAAGTTTCTCTCTCTCTCTTTTCTAATTTATCTGTTGAAAAAATCAGATCATTCGTCTTGTAGAGTTTTCTCACAATCTGGATTTTGTGGATTACTTTCGTGGGGCATAGTTTAACATGTTTTGCCCTCTTCTGTGTTTCCTGTAAAAGTGGTAATTGGATCTAGAGACTTAGTCAGTTTTACCCCCTGCCCCCTTTACTTTTTTTTTTTTGACAAGATTACTTCCTAGGTAGTGGGGCGTTCCTTAAGAGACACACACTTCTGCTTTTGAGGTGATTGCGGCAGTGGATGCAAAATGTCTAGATCCATGATTCACTAGGGGTTGCAACTCATTGTTTTATATTTCTATGATTTCTCCATTTATTAGCTGGAATTCTATAAAGAGAAAGATTTCCTCCTCTATTATTTAGTTACCAGTGGCACATTTAGTGTAGGAGGAGCAGTGTACTTGTTTGATATTTTCCCTTTATTGACCACTGTTCAAAATAAACAAAGTTGGCTGTATGTATCCTCCATAAGTGGGGGATATCTATATCTATATCTATGCATTTATATATAGAAATAGCACCTCATGGCTTTGTACTGGTATTTCAAATTCAGTGAAAATTCAAGACTCTGGAATGTTTATTTAAATTCTTCTGTCTTATATTTCTATCTTTATCCAATCCCTGTGAGTTTTTAAGGAATAAGAAGACTGGGAATTTTAGAATTAGTGTGTCACACGAACCCACATTATACATAATACATTCTTGTGATAGCTGCCAATAACATACTTACTGAAAGCATTTAAAACAGTCATTCTGTTCTCTCTCCACTAATTTTTGTTTGTTTTAACTGTATTGTTTCTACACTATCAGAACATATGGCTCTCCTTTAATACAATACTCTTTTCCCTACATCCTTGTCAGTTAGAGATTTTAAGGAGATTAAGATCATAGCCTTAGGCTTTTGTCATTCTGTTAATGTTGTAACACAACTTTTCTTCAGCTGTGCCTATGAAAGAGAATAATAAAGGGAACCAAATCTACTCCAACAGAGGAATCATTCTTCAAAGAAATGTTACATTAAGAAACTGTCGATAGAAGCAGTATTGTTGATGATTTGAACTGTTTCGTTTATTGGGTTTCTCCTAACTGTAACTTTCATATCTTTTTTTGTTTTCTTTTTGTGGCTAACAGAACATTCTGATGTGCCAGTGGAAAAAAATATCACTTTACAAAGACCTTCTAACGTAGAACTCATATGCCAATTCACAACATCTGGGGATTTGAATTTAGTAAATGTCACTTGGAAAAAAGATGATGAGCTACTTGAGAGTAATTATATGATCAATATAACAGGAAGCATCATGTACACCCTATACACGTGAGTACACAAAATTTTAACCTGCATGGCTACGTTAAATTCTAAATACTTTTGCTGACTGCGCATTCTTTCCTTTACTGTCACTTGAATGCTATGCTAATAGTCTAATTTGCATATTTACAGAATTATTTTGATTAATGGCTGAGTCTTGATTTTCATTAAGAAGAGTTTTGAGAACTAAGCCTATATTAATAACCTAAATTGTCTTTAGGGTCACCATCATTAATAGCAAACAGATGGGAAGTTATTCTTGTTTCTTTGAAGAGGAAAAGGAACAAAGGGGCACATTTAATTTCAAAGGTCAGTACTAATAATTTATAGAGTAATAACTTCAGCATTATATTCTTAGAATTCTAATCCCCCAATTTTTAATTATTACAACACTAAACGTAATGCGGCTGAAAGAAAATCATATGCTTTCCATTGAATCATAAGTGGTGACCTTGAAAATGGAGCTTCCCAGTGCCTTCTCAGTGGTAGAATTTGCATTTCCCAGTCCACTCCCACCCCTGCCTCCCTCCCCCCATTTAAAGCACAGGTTTAGTTCCAAAGACTGAGCTGCCAGGTTGTGTGTAAGTCATGGCAGTCTCTTGAACTTATCTATATTTAGCCCTCTAAACTCAGAGCTTCGATAATATTCCTCTAGGCGTCTGAGTTGCTGTACTTCTAGACTGTGACAATATGCCTTGGTGTTGTGTGTCACTGGCTCCAGAACTTGGGATTTTAGGGATCCATAAAATTTTAAAATGATGTGGAGGTGTGCAAAAGGGTTGCCTGCTTTTGATCTTATCAAGTTAAGGACAAACCCTGGAATATAATCCACAGCTCTCTCCTGTGAAAACAAACAAATCAAAGTATTTTACATTTACGGTCATTAAATCAAAACTTTAAAGGTCTTGATCTCATGATAAAGACTAGTCATTTGAGTTGGATAAGTATTTGGGAAATGTGGTCTGTTGCCATATTAACTATTTTGGGCTTTGTTTCACGTTAATTTCCCAGTGTACATGAGAAATTGTTCTTTACTTTTCCTAAAAATTGTGAAGTCTAGCTAGCTGCTCTGAAAAAATATGGATACTGTCCCCAAGGCTCCATCCATAGCCAAATGGCCTGCTTCATCATCGCCGTGATTTAAAATGGTTTGCCCCTGTATTCCCTCTGCACTCACGGGATCACTTCCTTCATGTGGTTTTGTAAATGTTCCTACTTGGTAAATATAATAAATCCTTATATTTATACACTTTGGTCTCTCCAAAGGCAGAAACTAGTATCATTCTTTGATAATTTTGATCACGTACATTCTCTTTTAACCTTCTTTGCTCCTTTTGCCTATTTTAACTTAGTGAAGTATAGATACACATGTATGTTTCCTTCTTCTATTCCTTCCCTTTTCCTTTTCCTTTCCCTGTCTTTTTATCTCCCTCCCTCCCTACTTCCTTTCTCCCTCTCTCCCTCCCTTTCTTTCCTAATGAGCTTAAAGGATATTAAGCACATGCACACATACACCCAGACACACACACACACACACAATCCTAGTAAACATTCTATCAGTCTCCTTTAAATATGTAAAGAAAGCCTACAGGTCTTGAGGACATACTCATCAAATCTTGAGACTTAAAGTGCCTCCAGGAGATTGAACTGTAAAAATTGCTATTTTTCCTTCTAAATAGCACTGTTTTCTAGAAATATGTACTAGTCTTGCCTGTTCAAAGTTTAAATGTTGAATATATTACATTTTTTCTTATTAGCTCTCTTATAATAAATTACTTACATTATTATTTGGAAGTGATCATTCCTGCCTCTAATGTGAAGATCAGCAGAAGCATTTTAGTTTCCAATATACCAATTCATTTAATGCCACACAGTCTTAGAGAAAGCCTCTTGGTTCCTATCTATTTTGAGATAACTAGGCTGATACTGGCTGGTGTCAGAAGCAGCAACACAAGGCTAAGAGGTTTGAAATCCAGTGCTTGAGGAATGCAAAGAGCCACTGAATATTTCCTTTTTTTCTTTTCATAGTTTTCTTGAAGCAGTTTAGTTCATTTTACTAGTTTTTAATGCCCGTTTAACATTAATGTAACTTTTAAGTATACACTGTGTCTTGAAGATATTTATAAAATTAACAAGTTGGGCCCTTCCAGATCTTATTTGGTAAAGTAATAATTCTCTGTAATTTATCTAAATTGAATATTGCTTGGAGAAATCATTTTGTCTGAGTACAATTTAAAGGCATCTGTAGAACGATTCATATTGTAGTTGTTATTTAATTAGATCTGTAAGGCGTATAGAATGGTGTATATTTTTATAAATATTCTATTATACTCTTTCTCCACATGGGTTGCTTATGGTCTTTCCTAAGAAGAAGGATTATCTTCCCTTAGCAGCACTACAATTAAGTGTGGATGAAAAGCCTGTTTTATCTTCTACTTTAAATTGAGCCAAAAAAAAAATAGAAGTAAGTCCTGCTATTGACTACTTGAGTCAACTATAGTGCTTGAGTCTGAGTCCTCAGAACAATTAATCAGCAAAGTCCCTGCTTCTTCCTTTATGGGAGTTGGTTGATTTATTACTACAAGATTGTAAAAGGGCCTCAGCATCGCTGATTAGTATGATGCAGGAGAACCTACTGGCTTTGTGTGTTGGGCTGTTGATGTCAGTACAGGGGAGATAGTAAAAGGGCACGCTGGAAGCTTGCAACTGCTAATATGTCATTGATCACTTTTCCCCCAAAAAAGATGAGTGATGGTCCACAATGTTTCTTAGTAATGGGTTAGATTTTCTGAGGTAGTTGGTAAAAACTTCCATAATATTCATCAATGTTAATCTCTTAGTAGAAAGATGCAAAGACGCAGAAATTTAGTTAGTAAAGGATAAGTAATAAGTCATGGAACTTTTGGAAGTTATGGTGATATTTTGATAGTACCAAGTGCTAAAACTGTCTTGGCCCAGCCATCTGTCTTCACTGGGAAGTACCCAAGGAGTCAAAGTATGGGAGAGTAGCATCATAGAATCAGTTGGTACTTCAGCTTCAAATGCCAGTGTCCCTTTAAGCTGCCTTTGACCATATGGAAGAATCTTTTTCTTAATTTGATAATACCCAGTTATCTTTGAACCAAAAATGATACTTAGGCCAATTTGTTCTAGTCCCTGAGTATACGCATATAAATCTCCAATCTTACAACTCCACAGAGCTTTCCCTTTCACTGGATAGATCCTTGACCCCCATCTTCCTAGACACTAGTCTAAATCAGCAATTTCACCATCTTCAAACCTGGATTCTTCCAACCCCAAGGTTCTCATTTGTCCTGCTTTATCCAAAGTTACAAAAGGTCAACAAGGCACGTTGGAATACTGTATCACTATCCTTATATGCATAAGTATTTCCAAACATAAGCAGTGGCCCAGAACCAACTGTGACCTTGGAGGAGTGAAAACAAATTAATGTTCCCTGAGCATAGTGCATTTTATAATTTAGACCCACGCTCCTGTTATCCGGCATAGATAGCAGAGCAGAGCAGTGGGTAATGTTATCTTGGCCATTAATCTAGTGGATAGTCAACAAAACAGAAGATATGAAAAGAAAACACAGTTTGGGTTTCAGTTTCTCTGTGGCATCACTCACTCAGTCAGTGTCAGTTATCTGCAGTCTCCGACCTGATCTTATTTCAATGGTATAGTTTAATAGTGTAGGCATGTGTTCCTCACCCGAACCTCATAGAATACCGAAGATTTTCTTGAAAAGCCCCTTTCAGCCACCAGCTGTGCTTCCCAAACCTGTGCCTCTTACAGGCTTACTGAAAAACAGTCTTCTGCCATGTTTTCCCCCCAAATGTTGCCTTTCTTCCACTTTAGATTCTTAGCCTGTGGGTATATTTCAATATTTTGATCATATTTCAACACATGTTTTTCTGTTAAAGCATGACCTAATTTCCAGAAAGAAGCATACTGAGATTGAGAAATAGGATATGTGGGAGATAAACAGCCTGGGAAAGCAGAAACTGTGCCCCCAGCTGGTGCCTAATACAACCAGTTTCAAAGTCCGCCTTCAAAGGAGTGCTTGTTTTAAGGTGAGCCTAGCCTGGCTGCAGGAGTAACTTCATCAGAGCTGCACTGTTAAAGAGCAGTGCTAAAGATGTACGTGTTGTACCTCTCCATATGGAATTCAGGAATTATGGCTCTGCTCCGTCTGAGATTTGGAAGGAACCTTGTGGCTTCTGAAAAGAATCCCTATGTTAGCCCAGCTCAGATCCATGCTTAATCCCCAGGTCTTTAGCTGAAGCCTTTCCTAAAGCAGAGTTGATCTTTCCAAGTGAGACTTTATCCCTCAAATGCCTCTGTGTCCTCATACTTCATTTAAGACTAAAACCACACCAGGTATTGGGTATCTTGGAATGATGTATCATTAGAAGGTGGTATTGAGCTGATAGATTGATAGTGCTTTGTCAGGAGACCCAAGAATGACTTGGTTTTCACTCGGTCCAATCATTCCTCCTCATAACAAAATCTCAAATATGGAAATATACACAAAAAGGACACACCAAAGCAAAGGAATATTTTATTATTGGCCAGCCTTGGCCACAAACCTTGCTGAAATTTTTGGAAGCCTTGACCACATGGACGGCTTCTTTTTCCTTAGTTGGGTCTTACTAAACCTTAAAAAAAAAAAAAGCAGAGTCATCTCTTCCTTCACAGCCCAAGCTCAATTTGGTATTTCCTACTCTAGAAGGAGGACACTCTCTCCTGAACCCGAAAAAACATGCTGAGCATGGGGCTGCGTTCTTTCTATCTCCAAATTCCCAGCCCTAGACAACAGGGCCCAATCAGTGCCCTAGAACATGATCACTCCAGGACAATCCTCCTCTCTAGTCTGGAAAATTGGAGAGTTGAATGAGGAGGGAATTTATATCCAGGTCACCAGGGACTTCAGTCCACAGGCCACTGCCCAGCCTTCAATTGCCACCGCCTCCAGCGTCTAGTGGCGAAACTCCTACCATAAGAAAAATGAAACAGAACAAAGTGTTCTGTGGTTCAGCCTCATTTAAGCCTTTAATATTTTGACATTTCAACTTATTGTCTTGTTTCTCAAGAACTTAGAATATAGTTGTTAATATCAGAACAGATGGTCAGCCTACTCTCTTGGATCCTAGAGTTGCTTCCAATTTTCTTATAGTGGTTATTTTCCTCCATTAGAGAGCTGTCTGGGTCCACAAATGAGCCCTGAAGGGCCGACTACAGACTTAGGAAATCAAACCAAACATTAACAGAAGTAGCTTGACCTAATAGGGCAGAGCACTTATGTGAGAGACTCCCTCTTTACTTTTATACTTAAAAAGACATGTGGATAGCAATTACTCTCTTATTTTAAAACTTAGCTCATGTTTGTATCAAAGTATTAGTTGCTTTATTCTGCCTTTTCTTGTTAAAACCAGTATGTGGTGAATGGGCCATTTTCTTTTTATTCTTAGGTTTTATAATAGTCTGTAAAGTTATTATTCCATGTGTTCTTTCTGCTCTATATACTATGTAGGTCTGCAACAAGATTTTCTTTTTAACTTTTTAGCCAATTTCATTTCTTGTTATAGTAAGAAGCAGTAATTAGGCACCCTGATTTAAGTTGTTCTAATTTATGTTTAAATTGTAATCCTTATACAAACAAAATTTTATTTAACTGCTTTAGCCAAGCACTTGAATGTGTGTTTCAAGCTGTGGAATTTGTTTTACAGCTTCACTGAAAAATTGTTTAATAATGTTATTAAAGGATGGATTCGTGCTGTCACCAGCATCTCAAAGCTGCTGTTTCTTCATTCTTCTGGGCCTTGTCTCCTGTAAATTTATTTCCCATTTTTCATCATTTTACCGTTGTACTCCCCTTTCTCAGATGGGCTGGGAGGTCTGTAAAGGCCTCAGCTTGGAACCTTTTCCTTGTTTTGGGTTTCTTTTTTAAACATTCCTATGATTCTGAGAGGTATTCGGGTGAGTTTGCAGTTCTCCTTTTTATTCAAGGTCTGATTTCTTCTCTGTTCCCCATGGGCAGGTAGCCTAGAAATCATTCTTGCACATGATGATAATCCATCCTATTAAGCTGGCTGATAACCACTATGAAGAAAGGCCAGGGGAATTGTAAATTGTAAGAAAGCTCAATTAAAAAAAGCAGTACCAGTACATGATCACAGCAAAAGTTTGAATTTTGTGGTGTATACTGTGCAGCAAGCACTTGATGTATTATGTTCTTGTGCTTAATCCTTTACAACAGCAACACTGTAGGATGAGTTTGACCTACCTATGTCCTCAACACTAGTAACAATGAAGCTGTAATTCTAATTCAGATATTTCCTGGACTCATATCTTTGTCACGTCATTGTCACATTCTGCTGACTCTTTCAAACACTGATGACCTGACCTTTGAAATGGACATGTATTAACCACATGTCCCTTAATGTCCCTCAGCCTAATGGTGATCAATAGGGAGTGTGGGACACTAGTAGCCTCTCAAAAGGAGTGCTCAGAGTATCTTCTGGTAAGGGCAACTCACCAGTTGCTTCTGGTTGGGAGGACTTCAACTAGGCTAGTCACGTGAGCTCACCTCTCTCCTCCCTCAGGAGCTCCCTAGTGGTACCTTAATATGTTTTCATAGACTATTAATGGGGTGATTATAAATTTCTGATTGGCATTTCATATCTTTGGTGAATGTAGTTGTAGACCATTCAATTTCATCAAAATGTGTTTCCTTGCTTACGAAAATTGTGAGAACCACTGAAAGACTACTCTGTCATCTTTCTTGTGATTACTTGAAGCATTTTTGCTTTCATGGGTGACATACCTTCCTCTTATTTGCATCTCTTTATTATTAATGATGCCTCAGTCAACACTCTGCTGGTCAGCAGTACTGATGAAGGAGAGGGTGATATGTGCACTTGTAGTTAGGCCCACTTCAGACAATAAGGAAAAAGGAAAACTTCCATGCACTTCGTTGTAACATTCATCACCTAAGGACAGAACCCATAAAGAAATCCTATTCTCCAGCCCTAATTTTACTCCTTCTTTGGTAGTTATACAAATCAGAATTTCTCTTCTAGTTATTATCAATTATTTTCCCTTTCCTCATCTTTACAATTCATACATCTAGCAAATGCGCAATTATCTTTGGGTGGCAGAAAGCCAAGAGCACTTGGGAATGTATTTAATCTAGAAACCCAATTTTAGTAATTGAAATTGATCTTTCCATTACCCACCCTTAACCTCCTCAAAATGAAATCTAAAAATAGGATAACAAGTGAATATCACACAATATCTGTAAAATTTGTCAATATAGTATTACAAATTTAGACATAATTTTATATATTCTCTCTCTTTCGGCAAACCAAGCAAACAACAAAAAATGGAAAAACAAAACACAAAACCAGAAGTCTGCTAAAATTAGTAAAAGAAAAAGAAAAAAAGATCAACGAAAGTAATCTTTGTTGATCTGTCCACATCTCCAGTGTTAGGGTACATTCTATAATATATTCTTCGAGGTCAATCAGAAGGAACCAGTTTCACCATGGAGGCTGTTGGTTGGCTTTTTATTGTTTTGCTTATGTTTTAATTTTCTTTACCAAGATGTTCACATCCTTAAGATTTAATTTTTCTAAATTCAGTACTCATTTTTATTCTATTACTAATGGCGTCTGCTTCAGAACTTTCTTAAGAAATTTATCATAATGAGTATTAGTATATGTTTTTACAAAACCATATGAGGGGTCGGCCCGTGGCCGAGTGGTTAAGTTCATGCGCTCTGCTGCAGCGGCCCGGGGTTTTGCTGGTTCGGATCCTGGGCGCGGGCATGGCACCACTCATCAGGCCACGTTGAGGCAGCGTCCCACGTACTACAACTAGAAGGAACCACAACTAAAATATGTACAACTATATACTGGGGGGATTTGGGGAGAAAAAGCAGAAAGAAAAAAACAAACAATCACAAAAACCACATGAAAGTGTTTTATATCTCATTTTCTTTCCTACTCTGTCCCCTTAATTTTCCTGTGTTTCCAACTTCTCCAACTCTTTGAGGGCTTTTCATAAATATGTATAAACTAAAGGTTTTATGTCCTGAAAATTTCGTCTCTTCACTCAAATGCCATCTAAGGGTAAAACTTGGAAAAAATATTTGTCTAAAGGAACTCAGTAGGTAGGAAGAAAGAATAGGCTTGAAAACATAAAGTTTCTTTCTTATCCAAAGCATGTAATAGCTTATTACAATACTTGCAATTGTTATTAGGCTCAATAAAAGAAGACCTTTCTTCTATTTCTACATTACAGATAGTTACACCTACCTACTGCTGTTATTATTGCTACTAAACATTCTAACTACTATAAATTAGTTTCATTTTATATAGAACTAAAACTACATTAAAAAAATTGTATATTAATGAGAAAATGAAAGGAGAAATAGTCTTCAATTTGAATACATTCTCCCTTTTCGAACTCTTCCAGTAACATACATTTCTCTTTTCTTAGTCCCTGAACTTCATGGAAAAAACAAACCATTGATCACTTATGTGGGGGATTCAACAGTCTTGATATGTAAATGTCAAGATTGTGCTCCTTTAAATTGGACCTGGTACAGTAGTAATGGGAGTGTACAGGTAAGATCAAGTTTCTTTGATTTGAAGAAAACAAAAAAACTTTTATTTCATAAATAATAAGATTATAACAGACTCAGAATTCCTAGGACTCTTTATACTTCTATCTTATTCTTTAATATGTATTCATAAGATAGAACAATGATAAATGGAGTTGTCATTTGATGTTTTTAGCATATTACATTATCTATCTGAAGATACTCTTAATGTTTCATTAGCTGGTACTTTGTTTTTTAGATTTAGCAATTTATTTAAATTCTTTGAAAGGAAGTTAAAATTCACTTTTAGTTGATGAGTTTAGAAATAAGCTCAACAAAAAAGATTCTTTTTTTCTTATCATTCCATGAAAGTAACTGAAAAAAAAGGCAATCTTCTTTTCCTGCTTCTGTCTGGAAACATTTGTGAAAGAATGTAATACAATGGGACCATTTGAGAAAAGAAGGAAAATTTGGTAACTTACTCTTAGGTCTTGGGTTCTCTCAGTAAATGTCCCTGACTCCTTTTGGCCTTCCAGAGACCTAAGGGAAGCCAAATACTTTATATTCCTGTTAAAGAATTAATGGCTATTCGAAGAGCTAATAAGAAAAACATGAGTATTTAAGAAATCATTTCTGACTCTCTTTCTTCCTCCCCAATACCTCTAATAGCAGGGAAATTTAGGCCATTGTTCTTTAGGGGACATTCTTTTATTGCCCTGGTGCCAATGGGCGTTGAAGTTAAAGTCCTGTAAAGGCAGGATGTAGTTCTAGAAGGAACTGTACGAGACGGTGGAGATCTTACAAGGAAATATTAAATTGCTTCTTAGACAAAATCAATGCTATTGTAGACTATTGAAGGATGACAGGGGAAGGACTTGAAACGGAGAGTGACTGATTCTGTGATAACATTGGTTTGATTTTTCAAAGAAATAGCTCCAAATCACTTAGGAGCAGACTTAAACTGTTAATATTTAGGCTTATCTTCTTACTGATGAGTAGGAAAGGCAGTCATTTTGTGTATATAAATATTTTTTAAAGACATGTAAATTTATCAAAACAAAGACGAATCATGGTATTTGAAATAATAGCCTAGTTTATTTATGCATATGTGATAATAGACAAAAAATAGCCTAAATCTAGTTATATTAAACTTTTAGAATGTAGTCTGTGCTTCTCTTCATTTGCTGTACTAGTTTTCTCTCAGTTTGGCCCTAAGCATGGGCCCTAAGCATTAGAATGTGAAGAAAGTGCCGGGAAGAGGGTGCAGGTTAAAACTTTAGGTCAAGTGTTTTTCAAAATGTAGACCAACCATCTGCATCAGAATCACCTGGAGTGCCCGTTAGACATGCAGTACTTTGATTTATCAGATCTGACTTAGGGAGCATATATTTGTGACAAGCATCACAGGCAGTGCTGTGCACAGGGAGCCAGGTTGCCATAATGTTATTGGCAGATAATAAACTCACAGTTCTCTATCAGATAACCTCCAAGATTATTTGTATGCAGGTTAGCGTTTGTTGAATAGGGGGGTTGAGTGATAGAGCAGTGATGGCATCAAATAGCCTGAGAATAAAATTTAGTTTGAATAGATTAAATAAATCAGCTCCCAAATAGCTTAGTATGACTCTTAAGAGGCTGGGGAAAACCTAGTGACTCTCGGGAGCCAGCTTCCCTGAGAGCGAAAAATTCATATATGAAAAGACAGATGTGCAGACTACCACATAGACCATGCTCACAGGGAATTTCTACCATTCCTTCTATATCAGCTTCAAAGGCCTGATGATTTCATCCTCCATTCCAGTCTGAGGAACTCCCAGTGTCAGGAGCCAGTGATCTTCCTTTATAACAATGATGAGATTTTGTGGCTTCATTAATAGTCGATGTAATGTTTGTTGCACTAGTGAAGGAGGAAGTACTTTGAACAACTGGCCAGGTATTAGAATGTGAAACCCAGATGTCTGGAATTTTTCTGTATTTTTAATTCTCATATAATGTTTACCCATGATGACCTACACACTGTAGATTCATTCAGGGCAAAGTACTTAAAGCAAAGTATACTTTTCCTTTTTTTCCTACCGCTGGGAGATCAAATTCTAAGAAGACTTGAGCACTGTTATGTATAACTTCTCACAAATTTTAATCTGCCTTTTTCTGGTGAGCACTTTTCTTGGTACTATCTTATAGCTTTCATTCAAAGCTAGATTATTTAGGATATGTATCTTTTATGCAATATAATAGAAATGGGTTTTAATGTCTTCTTATATTAGGTTCCTCTCGACGTTCAAATGAATGATAAGTATGTGATCAATGGAACAAATGCTAATGAAACAAGGCTCAAGATAATGCACATTTCAGAGGAAGATCAGGGCTCTTATTGGTGCCACGCAGTGTTCCAGTTAGGCGAGAGCGAAGAACGCCTTCAACTTGTGGTTCTCAGTTATCTGGTGCCCCTCAAACCATTTCTTGGAATAATTGCTGAAGTGGTTCTTTTAGTGGCTATTATTCTGCTTTGTGAAATGTACACCCAAAAGAAAAAGAAGCAGCCAGGTACAATTTCTTTTTTAGATAATATTCTCGTATTCTGACTTGGTACATTACAGTGGCTTTAGAGTATTTGGGAAAAATCTAACTTTGGTATCTGGAGTGGCATTTATGTTAATATCAATGATGACAGTGAGCTGTGAGCTTGTATTGATGGTTTTCCTGTTTCAACTTCCTGAAAAATTTTAGTATTAAAATGTACCTTTATTTTTTTCCCTTTTCTTTGGTGTTACTGGTACTTACACACCAGTGCTTTGGTACTGGAACATTAGAAAGTTCTGTGGTAGCTTAATATAAAAATTCTCAAAGATAAACAATTGCTCTTTCACTTCGAATACTCATTTTAAAAAATATTTTGTCAGACATTCTGGAGTGCTTATAAAAGAGATATTGACCTGTCAATTTTCTATTTTTGTAGCCTGTGCCCCATGGATTACAGGTTGAGAAGCCAATGGTCCCCTAAGAAAATTTATCTTACATTCTGTATTCTTTCCTGGCTTTGTATTAAATTTTTAATAACTTAAATAATTACAAGTCAATCAATCCTGTGTTTGTAAACCCCACGCACTAGACTGTGCTTGATCAAAATCACAGGTCAGGTCTGGAGAGCAGGGAAAGAAGAAGACGTGACAGAGGTGTAGTGTGTAAAGCAGCACGTTTCTCGTTCATTCCAAAGAGGGAGACGGCACAATGCGTTAACTCAGGGGGGAGTTGAATGGAACATCTATACTTTGTAAGAATAATAAAACAATCTTAATAGTTACATTCTTCTTTTGTTACACAGATGATGGGAAAGAATTTAAACAAATGGAACAGCTGTAAGTATTATTTTTTACAGATTAATTTTCACTTGAGTAGAATACAGATAAATGTGAAAGTAAATAAAATGTTTGCAGTTAGGAAAAAAAAGCACAAGAGTATACACGTGTGTGTTATTTTCTGTACACATCTATCTGTGAAGAATGGCATCTGGAATTCACCTGCCTGCATGAGAATACCCTCCTCCACTAACTTTCATCTCGCTGAGCTTCAGTTTTCTCCTCGACAAAATGGGTTTCATGATAGTATTTACCACATAAGGTTTTTGGATTAAATGATGTTTGATATGTAAAAATGCTTAGCATAGGCTTTGGTGCACAGAAGATATTCAGTAACCATAAGGAAGTATTATTTGTGTAAGCAGTGATACTCCACCCTGTCAATATCTATACGTATATATATTTTTTTGATGAGGAAGATTGGCCTTGAGCTAACATCTGATGCCAGTCTTCCTCTTTTTGCTTGAGGAAGATTGTCCCAGAGCTAACATTTGTGCCAGTCTTCCTCTATTTTGTTTGTGGGACTCTGCCACAGTGTGCCTTGATGAGCGGTGTGTAGGTCTGCAAACCCGCGACCCCTGAGCTGCTGAAGCAGAGCATGCAAACCTAACCACTATGCCACTGGACCAGCCCAAGCCGGGCTATATTTTTGATCACTTAGGATGCTCCTTAAAAGTACAGGGGCTCAGACCTTATTGGATCTCCTGGATCAGAACCTCTGGGATTGGTGCCTGGGCATCTGTATTTTTTAAAATGTCTATCAGTGATCCTGATATTCTGTCTTGTTGAAAATCAGAGGCCTAGAATTCTTTTAGTCATTATTTTTGAAAGAACACAAACTGAGCCGCTAGCTCTCTTACAGCCCCCTCGTTTAGAGGTGAGTATGAGGAGAGCTGGGAGGATAATTGCCAGGGATGTCGTTTGGTTTGGCGAAGCTGGGAGTTCCTGGTTCCTCTAAGTCAAAGACTGAGTGTGGAGTCCAGTGATGGAGGTGCGTGAGACTGAGATTAAGGTCTGAATAACAGAGCCAAGGGCTGGACCATGAAAATGAGGCCAGAATAAAGCTACTGAAAGAGACCTAGGAAATGGGAGGCCTGAGCAACTGTTAACAACACAAAATGGCACTTTCTCTTTCTCAGCCAACAGGAATTCTGGGGAGCGGTTTATAGCCATGGTTAAAGAGCGGGAATGGGGCAGAATGTTGTCATTTAGATTCATAGACATTGTTCAAATAGTTATTTTTACTCAGTCCACCTATGGCAGGTGAAATAAATCAACATGATAAAAGCTTCTAAATTAAAGTCGTAAAATAATTGTGTCAGGAGTTCCGTAACCCCGGATAGGAAAAAGACACTGTTGTCTTAGAATCATAGACTCTCCTACTTGGAAGGAAATTGCACCTCTTTCTGGAGATCTCAGACATCTTGTTTATATTGATTTGTGCTTTGTATCTTCCTGGTTCCCATGTATCGATTCCCTTTCTTATACTTGAAGTCATATAAAAAACACAGCAGTCATTAGGATATTTCAGACAGTTAACAGCCTTGCCCGGGTTCTTCCGTTCTCCCAGCTCAGCCTCCCCAGTGTTTGCAGCCATTCCTTTACAGTCACATTTGGAGGTTGCTCTGGTCTCAGTGCCTTCAGGTTTGTTTAAGACACACTCTGAGGTATGCCAGAACAGTGTGGAGTGGACGATCAATTCTACATAATTTAATTTTCACTTATGTAGCCTACCCTATTTTAAAAATATTTTTTTAATATTTTTTTCTAGAATAGCGTCAGAGCAATGTCAAACGGATTCAATCTGTAGTATAATCAGTTAACTTTCTTTTCATTCATTGGTAATTGGGATATTGCCCATGGTTTTCTGCATCCTCTACTGTTCTACAGATATCACTGACAGTGTTTCAGTTTTCTCTTCTTTTGGTTATTTCAGTATCTCTGGATTTAATACAAAAATCAAGAGCACATGAACTCATTTAGAGCAACCTTTTACCATGCTCTTTTAGAATTTTTAGTTAGGAGACAAATTTTTCTTGACAGACAATAAATATTATTTATCAATACGTTTTATATATACTGTTTATATATGTGTTTAGATAGTGATTCATAGAGTTTCTGGTGAAAATGATTTTTAAAAATACTGCTAAATGTCTAACATCAAAAAAAGCTAGTTACTTCAAATAGTGCAATGTGGAGCTCACTCTCACTTGTTTGATCTACTCAGATATTTAATCCACACAGTCTCCCCTACCTGCTCCCCCCTCCAAATTTTGACATAATTGTTTAGGTGGTTGAATTTATTATCTGGGAGTCATAGCTTAATGTGCTAAGCCTGCTGGGTAAGACTTAGAAGGGTGTTCATCACACACCACTGTGACCTAGTTTAGTCATTCTTGTCTTAAGAATCTGAAGCCCACTTTTGCAGTCTTGCACTGATGCACAATGGATAGATAAAGAACCAAGTTTAGCCTCTAATTCAATGTAGTAAACACGTCCAGTTGCAGCACCTGTATCTCACGTGTTGGCTGAGCTGATTGGCCATTGTCTTGCATGTGTCAAGACAACATGTAAGTTATAGCCAAATACTAAGCCCCCCTTCATGCTTGGGGAGAAGCAGTTCTCCTAATGCATAAAATAAACAGGCCTTTGTCACTATCATCTGTGGCAACAGTTCCTCTCCAAGCAATGGCATAAAATCAAAATCCACATTATGAGGAAAACATTTTTAGGAAGAACGAATTCTGTCTGTTTTGACCTTTTACATTTGAACCTGATGGCCATGATGTAAATGGTGTACTGACTTAATTATAGGCAGTGTAAACATCTGGTGATTTTTTTTTTTTCCACACAGGAAATCAGATGATAGCAATGGTATAGAAAATAATGCCACCAGGCACAGAAAAAATGTAAGTTGCTTCCAAATGATATTCCAAATAAAAGGTAAAATTCAGTATACAAAGGCTATCTATTAATCCAGCTCCTTTTTTTTTTTTTGGTTTCATAAAAGACCTAGTCATTCACTGTGCTTGAATATGCTTGTTTACAATATTATGGGAGAAAACATATAGTTATACAAAAATAAATGCCATCTTTTTTTCCACCAGAGAACATGTGGCAACCAACCTAAAAGTAAATCTATTGCACTGCCTATATATTGTGTTCTTTTGTTACCACAGGCTAGTTTCTTTTACAGCTTTTCATGTAGTCTCATTTTTGTTCTTTCTCAATTTTTCTGGATTTTCTTATCTTATTCTCATATATTCGCATATATTTGGTGCTATGAACGAATCCACATGAGCTTATTTTCTTTACTGATCAGAATCAAAATTTTCACGATTCATCCAAGTATTTTTCCTGAGTATTGAGAATAGGAACTTTTGGCTTGGGCAGTAGTTTGGATCACCCGCCCAGCACCTTTTGCTTTGCTGAAGTGATCATAAGTTACTACAGAATAACCAGGACATGCTAATTATGTCTCATTATGCTTTATTTAACACAGGAATCTGTGAGCCAGTGAATGAGAAGCATCATGTCAAGACTCACGGGAAGATACAGTTTGTATTTCAGCTTTGTGTATGCTTCCTGTTAAGAACATCTGAGTTTTTATTTTTAAAAGGATGGAAAATTTATGCAACATGCTCAGCAGTAGCTTTGTAAATAATCTATGCTATCAGATCTAAAGATATATTTTCATTCTGTAATTATTTTACATTAAAGCCAGATAAATTGTATTAAATGTATTCTATGAGCTGCAACCCAGGATAATTAATTTCATCCTGATCCTGAAGGGACACAGAGCAGACACCAGCAAAACCAGTTACTAGTACATAGAGCTAATGTCTCTCAAGACCTGTTTATAACCAAAGATTCATTAAAGAGAAAAACTTTGCCATTTATCTTGAAAGTTTTTTTTCCAGTCATACTATGTCTAGAAGTATTTGTAATAATTTTCATCCCTCTGTCATATTGAAAACTGTGTCCATTAGGAAATGAATACTTTCTACCTTTGCTAATGAAGCTCACTCTACAATCTCCACAAGAAAAACGTACTTTTCCTCCAAAAATATTGGTTTAAGGTAAGGAAATAAAACTTGCCCCAAATCTCCATCACCACAAAAGCAGATTTCCCAATCTTTATTCTACTCATCTCCACTGCTTTCCCACACCAGGCTAAAGTGATTCTTAGTCTTTATGCAGAGCATTTTTTTTAAACCCATGGCTTTGGGATATCTTAGGTCACACCTGGTGTTGGCGTTGTAGAGTGCAGACCCATATAGCTATAATATAGCATTGCTACAGGGATGGTCCTGCGAGTCATGGTTTCCTGGTATCTGTGGCTTGATATCTGGTTTCCTGGTATCCAGGGCTGGCCAAACATCTAAAATATATTATTAGAGCTTCACAATACTAGTTCCTTTGTCTGAAATTCAGGACTAAAGTCCTTCTGCTATGTTGTTGCAAATGCCTTACACTTTTCTTCAAAAATAGAATAGTTTCTATTGCAAATATAACTGAAATATTTTACGAAATCACTGTAACCAAATCACATGGAATCTGAATAGACATGCAAGGTTGTCAGTGGCTTTGAATGGAATGTTAAAATCATAGTGCAGGATACTAGATTGGGTTGAAGATGATGACATGAAATCTGCGGGGTGTCCTTGGTGCTGGAGGGTCCTGTGCCCCACCCCCCACAGTGCAGCAGGGTTCAGAACAATCAGAAGCAAAGAGGGAAGAGTTTGGGATGGGAGCAAGGAGCCCAGAATTCTTGGTAACTAGGAGATTACAGCTGGGAAAAGAAGAGTTCAATGATTTGGAAAAAAAATATAGAAATTTACATGATATACTGGCTGAGAAAATTATAATAAAATTCTGGTAGTAATAATTTTATATGGCATCTTAACAAATGTTAAAAATATTACTAGTATGAATAATACACATAAAGGAGTGACTTGGAAGCTGCTCATTATTTTGTTGCAACAGTATTTTGTGTAAAGCATGTTAACTATATGTACAAGTTTTGTTGAACTAGAATACATCCTTTAAGTAATGGCAGATATTGTTTTATTCTTGGTCTCAGAACCATGAGCCATGCATTTGGTTTGTTTTAATTCATTATTAATTTGATAAAATTATCTTGGGTGATATCTATATGATGACAACAACCAATCAGTTAACTTAATTAATCGAAACAGTTTGAATTCAGTGATAAATTAGTCAGACCTTCCATTTAACTATATCCAATTCAAAACAGTACATTTATGACTGGGTTATATACAAAATCAATGACAATTCGCAGCTCATATGCAGTGTGCCTCCTTCCCATTTTGCCACCACTAATTAGGCTAAATTACTTTTTAAGCAAGAAAAATTGCTGCCCCAAGGTAAAATAATCTGAAATGTTTATATAGTAAATCAAATTTTTAAGTGGCAACAATTGCTGTTTTTCTTAGCAAAGTCAATTCATTTCAGTAACTTGAAACAGAAAAAGTACTCGGAAAATTAAAGTTGAATTTTGCCTTTTCAGAGTCTCTCTCTCGAGTATTTCCAAAAACTTTCTTCACCACTGTTACATTAAAAATGGCATACTTCCCTTAGCGAACCTCGTGGAGATGATAAATGGATTAACTAATAATGACCAATTGTAAATTGACTGAAAATACTAAGCAAGCAGAAAAGGTGAAGTAGGAAAACTACTCCACATTTATATATGACACCTTGAGAAATTCTACTAATCTTTCCAGCTAACAGGGTTTGCAGCATAATAAGTAGATTTCATGATGTCTTAAAATTCCCAGATACCTTCCTATTCAGTTTGTGCTCTAATGTAAATCTTCTCCCTTTGTAATCTTTCTCTTTTTCCTCAGCAACTACTTACTCAGGCCAAAACCTAGAAAGTTGTGATATTTTCTTCCCCTCTATCAACTAATACTTATTGTCATGAATCTCTGTTCCTCTGGTCTTCTTAAGAGTTCGTTAATCCACCCTGTGCCTCCCCGACTCTACCCTCGCCAGCTGCAACAGCTAAGGTCTTGATCTTCCTACCTCAGTCTCATCTTCTGTTAATCCTTATGTTCTGCACTGCTGCCCGAGTTACCTTTCTGGAACACAGATCTCAGTATGTAAGTTAATGTGGCAGCTTCCATGCCAAAACTCTGCAGGCTCACCTTTGCCATTTCTTAATATTGCAGTTTTCCAAATTGCTCATCTCTCTCCGAAGTCTTGACTTAGCCTTGACATATAAAGATTCATGCAGAATGCTGTCTCCCGTGTTCCTCCCCATGGACTAACTCAAAGTTTAGCTTTCAAGACTTTAATCTGAAGTTACATCTTGGCAGATCCCTCACACCCAGTGGGCTCTGTACTGTCTTATGTGCTCGAATAACTCCACATTTCTTTGTGTTTAATACCCTGTATTATAAATATGCATTTATTTGTCTCCTTCCTGGATACAGCTTTTTATTTCTGTGTCCTGTACCTACCACAGAGGGGTACGTTAGACATGTCCTGAAATGTGTGTTGAATGGATAAATGTGTAAGTGAAGATCAAAATTTCATAAATTTGAACAATCTAAATTGTGACATCAGAATTGAAACAGAATATTTGAACAGAGATAAGCAAGCTTTTATAGCTTGTGTTGCTCTATTACTTTGAAAAACACATAGTAAAAGAATAAAAAGTCCTGTCAGAGTTTAATAATGCATCAATATCTAGTGAACAAAGGGAGTTCTGATGCCTAAACTACTATACAGGCTATGTTGCTTTCAACTGATTTAAATTCCTGTTGTCTTCTATTTTCCTGGGCAGTACAAATGTTAACCATATTTTATCCTTTATTTTAATAAAATAATGTGTTGACTTTAGGAATTTTAGCAATTGGAGTCCTTTGCACAGCCCTGTAGCGAGTGTTGATATTTCTGCCCACTCCACTAACTTTCTCATTCCTCCTCCCCACCAATACCTTCTAGTCCTTTAGAACATCTCAGAATCCAACTCAAAATTTTATCTTAAACAAAAAAATTTTTTAAAGAGCTTTCATTGTTTAGTTTTGATCACTGAAAGTTTGTCTTTAAACAAATTCATCAAAAGAAAAAAATGTCGGTTCTGCTTGCTTTTTCCCTGGGTCTTCATCTTTGAGGCATTTAAATCGATTTATGCAAAATGAATTACTGAGTATCTACTCTACTTCTTTATAGAAGATGACTCTTTCCTAGTTGAAGAAGGCTATGCAATGAATCAGGGCCTTACTCCCTGTTAGCATTGCTAATCTGTAGGCGGGAGTAAGTTCCAGTATGTGTTCCAGTATTCATGAAAAGGCACAGTGACCTACTTATGGCATGTTCTGAATTAATGTGTATTAAATGAGTGAAAAATAGGTGAATGATTCAATTATTTTGGAGTCTTAAGTTATACATATTTACGTAATGTCTGCTTTGATTGTGATTAATGAACTGAATTTATCCTACTCTAGTATAGATAAAAAGAAAACTGGAATTATGCATAAATTCATGATGCATTCATGACATACGCATTTTTTTCATTTGATATTTACAAATGTGTGTGCACTGAATCTAGAAGGTCGGTTACATGCTCAGTTTGTCAGTTGAGCTCTTTATTGAGGATATATCATATTACTACATAATAATAACTGACATTTGTTGAGCTCTTAGCATGTGACAGGTGCTGAGCTATATGCTTCGAAACGTGTTCTCTCATTTAATCCCCACATCATCTTATGCTCTAGGAACTCTTCTCATAGACTCTTTTATAGACGAGGAGACTAAAGCTTAGAGAGATCAAGTGTTGGGAGCTGGCATTGAAATCCAAGGAGTCCTTCTCTAGAGTTTAGGTTTAACAACCATGTTGAACGGCCTGGGCCTGCTACTTACATGCTTCTTAAAAAATGAGGCTATTATCTATCAACTTTTTTTTTTCTAATTTTACTCCTTTAGTTGGTCAGTTAAATAATCACTTCCATAATCTTATTCTTAAAGCTCATTGGACCTATGCTATGGCATACTTATGTCCTTGCAGTGGTGCTGGGGAATCAACACACTTTTGAGAGTCTTTTTCCCCTCCCTGCTTTAATTTTACTTCTCAGTAGCTAGTGTGACCATAAAATTTATCATCCAGATGCTGAGAATGAAAGAAGGTGCTATTTCTGATTTCACCAGGACATCAGGCAGAAGTGGACTGCGTGGTCACACTTTTAGCCTGCAGAGGGGAGCTAAGTACTTTCCGGATGCTCTAGCCTACATATAGCAGTAGCATCTGTGGCAAGTTTAAACAAAAAACAGAAATTCACTTTCAGGGAAAGAATTACTTTTAGCAAATGCCAGGTGTGTCTAACTATAAAGAAGTGCCTATAATGAGACAATTTAGTAAGCTTAAAGATTTATTACTTTCCAAATGTAATATGATTATGATTTATTATTCAAAAGTGTGATTCATAAATTGTAAGAGAAGCTGGAAAAGAAAGTCATGTTTTTCATGGCCTGTGAAATGAACTGGTCAGTTCTCTCAACTTGCTTATCTTCTTGATTAATGTGTTGCATTAATAATATCTGTGTGATTCTCAATGAATCAGGAATGCCTGATTATGCTTTTGCAATAAAATTTACTTAGGAAATTAGTGAAGATCACTCATGAATAACATTGTAAAAATTACTTTTAATCACATGATTAACCTTTACCATCTATATTTCTTGCTCTTTCATTTCCCAAATGAGAAAATGCCAGGGAAAATTCTTTAGGGTATTAGTTGAAATCTGTATATTATTTTGGTGTGTTATCTATTATTTTAAAGAAATTTTGTTCATAAAAATTGACTTTATTTAATTTGCAATTTATACAAATTCAGACAATGTAACTAACTATAATGGTATTTAATGTTACAATATCATAAAAATATGATTATATTAATTGTTTTTGAATCTTTTAAGATAGAAATTTGCCCATAAACTTTACCTATTTTAAAGTCAAGGACCAGAAATTTATTATGACATATTTCCTAATAAAATTTTCCTTTTTTTGCATATGTGTCTAAATTCTCATTAATGCCTTTCTGTATTATGTAAATAGCACAGAAAATGTCTGTGTTGGAATGTTTTAAAAAACATTTTTTGTTGCATATAACTCAGGATATATCTAATACGCAACCAAATTCAATAAAAGGTACTCTGAATTAAAGATTTAAGTGAGTACTGGAAAATATATTTTCAATTTTCCATTTTTAATAATGGTTTAAAAGTGAATTTAAAGGCACTAGATAATAGAAAGTAATGATTTTTTCCCTTTGTTATACTCATAACAAATTCAAGTTTTGTAAAACAATTCATCCTTCTCAAGCCCAACAAAAAAGTGTGCCTCAAGTGGGAATCTTATATTTTGACTCATCAAATAGGAAGTTAGAAAGGAATTTTCAAAACATACCAAAATATATTTGGAAAATTTAAAAGACAACCATGGCCTTTACATAAATGGACCAAAAAAATGAATAATTTCAAAAATGAAATTAGTGCATAGAACATATTTGCTTGTTGTCCTGGGTACATTTTTTTTCAACTTTGCAGTGTCATTTTAAATTGATTCAGCAAAAATAGTTACAAAATATTTAAAAATTTGCATTCTGTGAAAACGTCTGTGCCATAAAAGAGAATCAGCATTCCAAATAGGGCATTTTAATGATTTTAACCATCAAGGAAAAAGAAAACCATGAGGAAGGATAATAGAATATTTCAGTATGTGTTATATTTGAGTCAATAAAAATTATTAAATATATATGTTAAAATGATTAATGCCCAATAAAGAAGTGTTTGTGTTCTAAAGCATGTGAGGCCAATTTACAGCAGTGACTAATTGTGTTTGGGCACTGACCACATTAAATAACAGTGGTTAGGGAGATCCACTTCTGGCGAGATGAGGTAGACATGTTTTCCCCTATTCCTTTCCCTACTTACAGCTAACAACCTTGGGCCTTTTTGAACAAACACTAAGAGATTCTCAAAGGTGAAGAGATGAATTCAGACCAACTAGGTACTTTGGGACATGAGATATGACACACCAATGAGATTCCTGATTTTTTTTTTTTTTTGCTTCATATGTACCAGACTAGGTGCTGGGGAAGCCAACAGCCTGGAAAATGCTAAAGCGTTCAGATACAGAAAGCTTCCCCAAAAGCCTGCTCTCTTTAGCCAAAAAACCAGAAAAGGACAAATCTAGCAAGACAGAAAACATTAGATAATAACTATTCTACTCTGGCCAAACACCACCACTGTGGACTTACCTGCACGACCAGCAGCAAAGGCTGAGTGGGGAGCTGAGACTTCCACCTCCGCTGGTGGTAGTGAGGTGCACTCTTTCCACTGCTGGTGGGAAGCCTGAACTCCCACTTCCTCCTTTGAGGAAAAAGGTACCCCTCCTCCCCTGGAGCATCAATGGAGGCAAAGTGAAGAACATGTATTTCCAAATCCATGTGACGGTAATGAGACAAAATACCTCTTTTCCCACCAAAGTGTCTCATAATACCTAAAATATCCAGGTTCTAATAAAAACTCACTTGTCATACCAAGAATCATGAAATTCTCAACTTGGGTGAGGAAAATACAATCAACAGATGAAAACACCAAGAAGAAACAGAATTATCTAGTGATGATTTTAAAACAGCGAACTTCAAAATGCTTCAATGAGTAATTATAAACAAATGAAAAAATAGAAAGCCTCTGCAAAAAATAGAAAGTATCAGAAAATAAATACAAGATATTAGGAAGAACCAAATAGAAATTTTAGAACTGAAAAATACAAGAACTGAAATTTTAAAAACTCAGTAGATAAGCTCAACAGCAAAATGGAGATGGTAGAAGAGCAAACCAGTGAAACTGAAGACAGAACAGTTAGAAATTGCCCAGTCTGTGTACACCAGAGATAATAATAGAGCAAAGAACATGGGCAGAACCTCAGAGTCCTGTGGGACCATAACAAAAGGTACAACATTTGTGTCATTGAAGAAGAGAAAGGGTGAAAAAGTATTCCAAGAAATAATGGTTGAAACTTTCCCCAAATTTAGCAAGGGACGTAAACCTACAGATTCAAGAAACTGTGCAAACTCCAGACAGTAAACCCAAAGAAATCCATGCCAAGACACATTGTAATCAAAACTGTGAAAACTAAAGATAAAGAAAAAATCTTGAAAACAGTAATAGAGAAACACTGTCTATTGGGAAAAAATCAAATGACAGTGGATTTCTTATCAAAAACCATGAAGGACAGAAAGAAGTATCACCACATTTTTCAAATGTTCAAGGTACTGTAAACCCAGAATTCTCTGTCTGGTGAAGTGATTCTTCAATAATGAAATGGAAATCAAGACATTCTCAACGAAGGGCAACTGAGAAACTTTGTCACCAGCACACCTACCCTAAAAGAATGGTAAAGAAAGTTATCTGAAGAGAAAGGAAATGATAAGAGAAGGAATTTTGGAAGATCCTGGAGAAAGAAATAATAATAGAGTAAAAATATCAAAAAATACAATAGACTCTTCCTCTTGATTTTTCTCTATTATGTTTGTTAAAGCAAAAATTTCACCATTGCTCTGGTTGTCAATGTAATATAAATATTTAATATACTTATATAATAAATGGGGATGGTAAAGAGACATAAAAGGAGGTAAGATTTGTACACCTCACTCAAACTGGTAAGATGTTGACACCAGTAAATTATAATACATTGTGTATTATGATGTGATACCTAGAGCAACCACTAACAAAGATATACAAAGACATGCAGTAAAGGCATTATAGATAAATCAAAATGGAATTCAAAAAAATGTTTTGGTAATGCACAGGAATGCAGGAAAAAGAAAATAGAGAAAGGAAAACAGAGAAAAATTAGTGAGAGGATAGAAATATATGCCATGTAAACTTTAATCAAAAGAAAGCAGGAGTGAGACTATCAATATCAGATGAAGTGGTTGTCAGAGCAAAGAAAATTACCAGAAACAGGAAGGGACATTACATAATGATAAAAGAATCAACCCACCAAGGAAATATAGATCGAACAACAGATTTGCAAAATATGTGAAACAAAAACTGATAAAGAAGAAATTGACAAATCCACATCTATGGTTGGAGACTTCAACATCCTTCTCTCAAAAACTGATAGATCAACCAGACAGAAAAATGGCAAGTTTCTAAAATAATGACACCATCAGTAAATAGTATCTAATTTACATGTATAGAACACTAACCTAAAACACTAGAATACACATGTGCCCATGGAACATACACCAAGATAGTCTATATTCTGGATCATAAAACAAGCATCAACAAATTTAAAAGAATTGAAATCAGGGTATGTTTTTTGACCAAAATGGAATCAAACTAGAAATCAGTAACAGAGAGCTAACAGGACAATATCCGTATTTAGAAATGAAACAACACACTTGTAAATAAGAAAGTGTCAAAGGAAATTTAAAAAGTACATTGGACAGAAAGAAAATAAAAATACAACATATCAAAATTTATAGAACACAGCTACCGCAATGCTGAGGGATATTTATAACAATAAATTCTTTTGTTAGAAAAGAGGAAAAGTCTCAAATCAATCTAAGCTCTTACATCAAGAAACTAGAAAATGAAGAACAAAATAAATCCAAAGCAAGCAGAAGGAGGAGAATAATAAATATAAGAACAGAAATCCATTAACTTGAAAGCAAAAACAACAGAGAAAATCAATGAAACAAAAATCTGGTTCTTTGAAAAGATCGATAAAATTGACAAACCTCCAGCAAGACTGACAAAGCAAAAAGAGAGAAGACACAAATTACCAATATCAGAATGACACAAGGTGCTATCGTTACAGACCCTGCAGACATTAGAAGGATAATAAAGAAATAGTATGAACAACTCTACACACATAAATTTGATAACTTAGATGAAACAAAACACACAACTACCACACAAACTACGATGAATCACACAATGTACAAAAGATAATTAGATAGCTCTAAAACTATTAAGGAAATTCAATTTGTAACTTAAAACTCTCAAAAAAGAAATCTCCAGGTCCAGATGATTTCACTGGAGAATACTACCAAACATTTAAAGAGGAAGTAACACTAATTCTACACAATTTCTTCCAGAAAACAAAAGAGGAAATAACATTTCCCAAATCATTTTTATAAAATCAGTATTACCTTGATACCAGAACCAAAGACAATACCAAAAAAGAAAGCTACTGACCAATATCCCTCACAAATATAGAGCAAAATCCTTAACAAAATATTAGGAAATGGAATTCAGCAATATATAAAAAAGAGTTATACCCCACAACCGAGTGGAGTTTATTCCAGGGATGTAAAACTGGTTCAATATTTGAAAATCAACTATTGTAATTCACCATATTATCAGTGTAAAGAAGATAAATCATAATATCATATCAACTGGTGCAAAATAAGTATTTGACAAAATTCATACCTAATCGTGATAAAAACTTAGAAAACTAGGAACAGAGAGGAACATCCTCAACTTGATGAAGAATATCTCCAAAAATCCTATAGCTAACATCATACCTAATAGTGAAAGAGGAATGCTTTCTTCTTAAGTAATTGGGAACAATGAGGTGGTGTCTTCTGT